TGCGCTAATTCTATGTGGGCCATTTTGTTGCACTGTTTTGGTTTTCTTTCGTAGCTGCAGCAGGGAAGCTGGTGAGGAGCAGGTCCTGATAGCCCATACATATTTTTCTATTTATATAAAAGATTATGTTATTAAGAGGCCTCAGAATATTCTGAAGACATAGGATTGTGTTCTAGCCTCTTGCTGTGCCATCCAGCATTCTAGATGGCCAGGAAGAATTCAGACTGCCCACAGGGATTTTCTGCCCTTTCCTCCCTATGAAGTGAGTGAAGAGAGGTAAGGCCAACTGAGACTGCCCACCGGGGTGTCCTGCTTTCTCTTTGCTGACTGCAAGGAGGAGCAGCATCTGGCCAGGTACTGAGTCAGTCATTCTGTCTTGAACGTGCGTGCCAGCACAGGAGTGCAAAGCTACCTTACGGACTGTAATACAGGATCGAGATACAGGCACTTAAAATTGTGTTGCCAGCTTTTAGGGAATGCAAACCCAAAGATGTTAATCCAGAAGTGTCCCCCTTCCTCTTCACCATCCCCAGCCCCCAAATTAGCTGAGAGGAGGGATCATAAACTGCCAAGTTCTACCTTCCATTGGCCAAAACTGCTCAAGAATTTGACGGCAGACAATTCTCAGGGGTTATAACCTGATCCTCTCAAGTCATCATCACTACCATAAGGGGAAAAAAAAAAACCCAATCTATTTTTCCAGTCCAGTAGTGTTTCTTATCAAAGGTAGCAAAACTCGTTTTGTAATAATGCTATGGGAATGACATTATTGCACATTAAGGGCAAAGTCTGGTGGATTTGAAAGCTTGGTTAAATGATAGGGAAAAGATGATAAAACAACCTCTTATCAAGGCTCCAAGGAGATTAATCTGGACGTGTGCCCAAGGCACCAGTAACAAAATGAATGTATGCCTTTTAGCTAACGATCTGGAAGAGAAAACATAGGGTGCTTTGGCGTGGTTTCTGTTGACATCAGGAACCTGGCTTTGTAAGGTCCTGATCAGGGGGCAAAGGGGGGAAGTGCAACATCTGCTTATCGCCTGTGAAACCAGAATGCCTTTTAGCCGTGAGTAAACTTGCTGATGTCAGTGAACATCTGACGCGCTAGAAGCAAGCCAGTCCCGAACCTCCAGTGCTTTGCTGAATCAGGAGCCAGGTGCACGGCCTCTGTCACTCACTGGGTTTGTGAGGGGAAAGGAAAAAAAAAACATTTCAGCTTCTGGCACCTTCTGGACTGCAGGAGCTTGGCTGGAACTGATGGCCTGCGAGCAGCGTGCTGCAGGGAGACTGCGCTGCCTGCTGGGGCCACGTGCTCTACACGGGGCCACGCAGCAAGCCGGGTACGTCCCTGCCACATCTGCGGCATGCCCGGCTCCCATGCGCAGTGTCCATGTCTCCCGAGCCTGCTGCGGGTGAGGTATAGAATGCATGTGTATGTATTTCTGCTTGCAAAAACCTGACGGGAAATGTGCTAGTCCTGTCTCTAGGGACTGCAAGACAGTAAAGGTGGATGGGGAAAAGAAAACACAACGGGTGTTTTTGTTGTTGGTTTTTTGTTTTCTGTAGTAGCTTATTAAATCCCTGGTGTACTTTTAGTTCTGGGTTGTTTCTCCCAACACACACTCATGTATGTCAGAGTGGTACCTTTCTGTAATTGCAAAATGCTTAACGTTTACACCACCTGATCTGCTCCACTGGCATTACAGGTGAAAAAACATTGTTTAAGGTGAAAAAACATTGTTGAGAAGGGGAAACTCAGCACACAAGGCTGTCACTTGTAGATTTACTGCCAGACACCCAGGGTCTGGCTGTTTTTCACTTTTTGTCTTTCAGTTAAAGTACCTACACACACTTTTACAGTTACTCTATCTTCTTAAAATTAAGGGAGATGCAGGACATTCCCAGGCAAGCACAAGGCAAGCTGCTAAAGCACCAGTCATACAGGTCTGTTGTATCATGGCACAGTCTGTTCTGTCCGATAACTACCATTCTCTTACAAACCAGCTATTAAAAGCCAGTTGTCCCATTGCTTCAGAGCTAGAAGAGAAGCTTTCGTTTAGCCTGTGGAAAAAGTTATTTGTTATAGACTTGATGATGGATGTCTTTTTTTATATAAAACTAAAACCGATGGTGAATTTTCACATTCTTTACAGCCGAACAAAAAAATAGATATTTTAGAAGGTAGAATGTGCACTGATGAAGGGTTCTCAATTCTCATCTCTGAAGATGAATGCTACCCTAATTAGAAAGAATAAGGTGATGTGCGAGGTGATGCATTGATGCTAGGCACCATGCAAACTCTCAGCATCCTAATTAGAAAGAATAAGGTGATGTGTGAGGTGATGCACTGATGCTAGGCACCATGCAAACTCTCAGCAGATGCAACATTAAGCGTGAGCAGACCCTTGTTTCAGTGTTTCTGTCCCCTGCTACTATTTGACACAGTATGAAAGTTGCTTTGCTCAACTCCATTTGATAAGACTTAAAATAAAAAAGGCCCTTGCTTGCACTAGACTTCTTAGAAGAAAATAAAGATATTAGACAACCATTTAGAAGGTTTTATTATAAAATTATTTCAATATCTACATCCAAGTAAAAGGCTTAAAACTACAGCTCTACTTTCAGGAATAAAAGTTCAGTAAATGCTGAAAAAGATACTATATTATCTAGGTAGATAGCCCTTAAGTAATTTTTAATACTACAGAGATTCCACGTGTATTCCTTAAGTGCTACACACACCTCTATCTGCATCATGAATGTGTTCTGCAGCTTCTCTGCAAGCAACATTACAGACGTGTTTACAGCACCCATGTGCTTCAGCTGCTTTGAGATAGAAGTTACAGCTCCTGCCTGGAGTAGCTGCAGCTATGTTACAGGTGTACAGTACACCATCAGATCATAACTCATGTTCAAGCATTACCAGGTGCAGACAGAGAGGTATAATTTGTGTTTACTTGACAACAATGACTACTTAAGTATGTTTTTGTGACCTTGTATTCAATACAAAAATCAACAAATGTTCAAGTATATTATGGCAGTGAAGGCAGCTTTTTCACTGTATATTCTAGACAAAGATATTTCATTTTTATTATCCATTTCATTAACTGAGCTGAGCTCAGATACCTGATCTGGTAATCTTTGGTGACTGCAGCTTATTCACTGAGATAAAAACAGCCTTGATGCAGTATTGAAGTCATTATGCTCAGTAGTTAACACCAATACTTCTAAATCTAGTTTTTAAGAGAAATGAAGCATTTTATTTTATTTTTGGTTGAGAAATCTGTCCCAACAGGACTTCTACAATGCAAAGGTAGTTCCAGCTTTCTCTCGTTCCTATTAAAAAAAATACTTGATATTCACAGTAGAGTATGGAGTGGCTTTCTGTCCAACAAATACAAATCTGTTTTAGAAAACTGTCATACGACTAAGCAGGATGCTTTAAATACTGTACTTGCAACTTCTTGCAAAGCATCACATACACTTAAGATAATATGCTAGTCAGTTAAAAAAAATTCAAGTCCTATTATACAACCCTGATGAACTTTGACTGGTCAGTTTGGCAATGTCCAATAGTTTAACTTCTATTCTGTCATTAAGTTTACCTTGCTTAGAGGCAGGAAAATGCACAAAGAAGATAGGAAAGGAAGAAGCTTACTGAGAATGGAATATTTTCCCAACAGCTCTCTCTCTCTCTCCCACTGGCACTGTTTCTGTGACAATTCCCCATTATTTTGTTGTTTGTAAAAATTATTCTATAGTTTTCAGTGCTGTTCATATTTTGAAACTTCTCATTTCCTAAGCCCTTTCCATTGCAGCGAACAGTTCTTAGAATAAAATTCTACTTCCAACACCACTCTTTCTGAAAACCTTTCAAATAGACCTTCAGTGCTCATCATAGCTTTCAAGGTGTAGAATCCCCATGTACCTCTTTGAGCTAGTGTGGTCCAATACAAATTTGACAAAGATGACAGGCAGATTTTGGTTCAGTGTACCGAGCCACTATCTTCTAACAGCATGTCAAAAAGGAACTACAAGACCATGTTTTAAACATGCTGTTGTTTCCCACATCATGCTTACATAATACAGATCCTTTCTGTTCAACTTGCATGTCTGACTTCAGTTCTTGGAAAATCCTAACCTACTTACTTGTCACATGTTTTCTGGAGTGCAGGGATGTAGGCTAGATGTAGCCTAACCTTACAGCTGCTATAACCAAGTAGCTTTCCATTTCTTTCCAGTAGCCTTCTAAAATACCAAGATTTCCTTCTTAGTTACCTTCCGCATAGGAGCATTACTTGGCTAGTTTTTCCATGAACAGCTTAACATTAAAAAATCTAGCAATGTAACTCACAGAGCAAGGCACCACATAAGAATTATTACTGGAATACAGTTTTTTTTTTTTAAAAATGGGACTTCCTTATATATGGAAAACACTTTCTCCCTACCTCACAGAGCTCCCTCCCTCCCTCCCAGTCAGGCTGTATTTGAACGTTGTTTGTATCTTGCTACAAGATTGCCATGTTAAGTGGATGTTTTCCAAATGTTATAAATACAGCTTTAAACTACAGGTGTTATCTATCTACCTGAGAAGTTCTGTAATAAGATGAATTGCTGATAACTATTCTAGAAGAAAAATATACACCAGCATAACTGACATTTATCAGTATTCAGAATTCAAGCATTGAACAGGACTCAAAAATTGCACACCTCTACCACATCAAGTCTTTGATCACAAGAAAAAACCAATAGTCTGATTTTCCTCTATACACATCTCTTCTTTAAAGACATACGTGCTCATATTTTCCTCATCCTGAGGTCCACAGCAAGATTTCACATTCAGTGCATACAGCTCAGGCGATAAACATCCTTATCTTCTTTCTCTTCTGCCAGTCCTGAAACTGAAGAATTTGCTTGTTTGGAGGTAGATGAATACTTCCAAACGCTAGTCTTTTTTGAGAAGCCAGCTTGATCCCCTTGGGTGCCTGGATACCAACTTCTCTTCATAGAGCTGCACTCTGCTTAGATAGATTCTTTGGGCCTTTACTTGGGACACACCAGTCATCCGCCTCTGAGGTAGCTTGGTAATGCTTGGAAGCCGATTTGTTAAAAACTGGGAGTTTTTCTACTGATTCTGTTGATAGGGCCTAAAAAAACAATCAAGAAGGAAAAGTTACTTGGTTTCTACCTCACAATAATGCCGCTTTGCAAAAATCTATGCAGTATGTTTCAAGTGTTAAGCCAGTGATGCTACAACAAAGTTATTTACACAAATGTTTCTACAACAGATACAACCGTTTATGTGCTTCAGTTTGTATGTTTGCTTTGGGTAATTTGGCAGGACAAATGCAGTAACATCAAATCACATTTACGCATTTTTATAGACCTTAAGAGTTACTCTGTAAACCATTTTCAAGATAGTCCTGGAAGCCGTGGAAAAGAACTTTCATTTACAAAATTCCAGAGAAACTTTAAAATATGTTCCTTTCCTATTTCCATATTTTGCAGCTGAAAAAAATTCATATTCTATTGGGAAATTGTTAAATAGAAATGCAACATGTATATAGCTGAACTGTCTCTTCCTTTTGTACTGCTTCTCTGGTTGTGCTTCAGTGTGCTTGGAACTATGGTTTTGGTTTACTAGAAGAAATTCAAAGCAAGTAGTCCTTTTTTCCAGATTACTTATAAAAACAGCAGTGCATCTTATATGCCACGTATTCAAGATTACTGATATCTGAATCCCATATACGGGCCATATGGCAGATGCTGAATAGGACCAGGTACTAGACTCTTTAAGAATTAGTTTATACAGACTTTCTGGTTGTCAGAGTAAAGAAACAACAGTGAAGAAGCCAGATCTGTTGCTCACACCTTTCTGTTTCTGTTACTTCACTTTCTCCCAGCACTTTGTATTCCATGAACCAGTAGATAATAAATCTTAATACAATCTAAAAACTAATGGGGCTCTTACTAGTAGTTATTCAAGTAGACTATTTAAAGCTAACTGACCTTTTTAATTCTAGAAACCAGTTACAAATCTTACTGGCATTTCTTAATAAAAATGAGAGCTTTTCTACTCACGAGCAGAGAATTTGTTTACCTTAAAATGATACTGACTAGTTACCTCACTGCATTAATGGTAGTTATCAACACTATCTTTTATTTAACTAAATCAAAATACATACCTTCAAGTAGATAATAGCATCTGTTCCATAACCACATATGGAGTAGAGATTTAGATCTCCTTGGAAGTATTTAGCATACAGACGAGAAATTGGCAAGCCATACCCAAAACCAGCCTAAAAATAAAGTACAAGACAAAATTAATATTTTTTTCACTAGCTCTTATGACTTAAAATTAAATAGCTGGAAAGTGTTCAGAGATTATAAACTGTTAGAAAGACCTTTGCACTTACTCATCTCTTAAAAGAAAGCAGAAATCTCTGATCAGTTTCATACAGAATATTGAAACTGACCGTTAAAAAAACCAAACCACAAGAAAAAAAACCCCAAATCTCCATGGAAGAGGGAAGGTTTATATTCACATCTTACTTTTACACATTACATTTCTGTATTTTCCCTGCCTTGTTTTTGCTAGTACAGCTTGATTAGTAAAAGGAGTTTGCTACTGGTAGATAAACAACAATAATCTAAGCCTATTCCAGTTATGCTTGCCTCCATAAAGATAGCACAATTTATAGTAAGTTTGAGGACTGAGTGGGAGTGAAGACCAAGTAAATTACTGTCATTGGAGTATAAGGAAAAAAAACCAAACAGGGTTAGATCCAGGTTGGAATGTTCTTCTTCATTTATAGCTTTAAAAGCATATTTTTGTCCACTAAGCTAGATATTAAAAATCTGCTTCAGAGAGTATAATTCATATTTATGAGGCTCAATCTTTGCATACCCCACAAAGCAGTAGGGTGGACATAGCGTTTCATAATTTATTAATCTACCAATCTGTCCAACACTTATAGCAACCTTATTAGTAACATGTGTATTGAAAAAAATCTTACAAGAGGGGTATTTCGACCATCATCCATCCTTGGCCTTGGTGCTGTGGAATACATGTAGCTAAAGAGCTGCTCAATTTTCCGTACTGGAACACCACCTCCTCTGTCTGAGATCTGATTTAAGAGAGAATAAAGTTAACTACAATCATGTACTAAGAATGGTATTTAAAATGCTGTTATTTGAACAATCCCTTCCAACAGTAATACATGTAAACATTTGTTTTGCAGCATATTATTTTTCAGTTATATATTGTGCTAAATGGGAGGCTATCAACAAAAGGCTCATGCATAGTATCTTTGATCTGTTGTCCGAGGCTGCAAGTTCTTCTAATAGAATTTGCTGCAGCATATACAAGCATAAAGATTACATTAAGCCTATATTGCAGCAGGCCAACAAAATACCTTAATTGCCAGGTCTTCTTGTCCTAGAACAACTGTCACTTCAATTGGAGAAAGGGAAGGACTGTTTTCTTGGAATTCAACGGTTGCCCTCATTGAATTCTATGGAAATGAAGGTTACCATTATCAGAAAGTGTTGGACCTATGCACTTAAAATCACACCCCTGTTATGCAGAGGCAGAGCACAGTTACCCTCCGTTCCCATCAGTGCCTAGCTTCCAAGGAACACACTTAGCAATTTAGTGTAACAGGAGCAGAGGAGATCTCACACCTAAAAGTGACTAAGCATAGCCAAGACTCTTCTGTGCTTGAAAGATCGCACTCTTCTTGCCCAACATATAACTCAGCTAATGTAATTTAAATAAACCTAACTCCCTTAAGAGTCACCAGGTTTCTGGAGAAGAGCAGAGTTCAGCAGTTGCTAAAGGCTGCCAGAATTCTGCACCTCATGTTGGCAGCAGATTAGTTCAACCCCATTCACTACTTCAAGATGTATCACCCACTCCACAGAAGGCACCAGGGCAAACCTGCACGACAGATGTAATCCCTAAAAGCAGAAGGCCAGCTGTGGTCACAACCCCCTGTCCTGCTTTTACTCTCTCTCCCCCTTACCCTGTCCCATTTACCACCACACGAAAGCGTCCAAATACTCTCCTACAAACTGCAATCACTCCTTTCCCAACTGCCAAAGCTATTCCCCCAAACAAAAAATTCTAGAAATCTCACTGTCCTATGCAAAGCTTTACTTCATTCAGATCTAGCTAGAGATTTTAAATATTGATGCTCCAGATCAGACTACTAAGGGAAGAAACAGCTTATACTGACATACCTTAAAGAGCTCAAAAAGCATGTGAAAAAGATGAGATGGAACATATACGATGTTAATTGGCTCTCCTGGAAGTTTTCCTAGAGGAAGGGAAAAAAACAAGCAAGATTTAAAAGGGTGATGGAATTTTTCTGTACTGTATCCAAATTTTACAATAAGCAAGTTGCATGCCAGAACAAACAAGAAATTAAATCAAGTCTCCGTTTTGGTTTTTTTCTCCCCAAATGAGCAAACAACTTCATGCACTTTTAACAGTGTTTAGATTGTAATCACCACTTGCTTAATAAGTTTATTTTCAAATAAACAACAAAAAAATTAATTCTACTGTATAAGTAAAGGATTTTAGAAGTTAAGCAGATTGCCTGAGATCAGACACATGCAGGCAGCTTCGCCCAGACCCAGTGTTTCTCAGTCAGCCCCACTTCCTCACCCCAGATACAGAGCTCCTCTCCAGCAACTTATCATGTTACTTTAAGTACAGGTTAGTCTTACTTCTCTCAAATTCATAAATAGTACCTCAGGAAATCTAGTGTTTAAGATACCATGACATTTAGGTTCTAACACAGGTGCTTATAACAGAAAATGAAGAGGACTAGCCCAAGTCAGATCAACTGGTATGTACCATTATGGCTATAGAAATGGTAGCTTTTGATTCAGTGAAAGCAGCAGTTTAGCTACCGACTGGAAGACAGACATAAAAGCTCTCATCTTACCATTCACTTGAGTAAGTTTCAGTTCTGGAGATGTTAAGTAATACTGGTCACACAACATCTTGGAACTTTCAAAAGCATCTGAAATATTTATTTAAATAAAATACGTGAAATGTAGTGTCAAACACTGTAGAAATTCATTCTAATGCATGGCAAAATATGATTTTTAACTGCATTAGCTACTAAGGTGTTACAGACTCTAATCCTGTGTTTCAAAGGAATGATAACATTGCATCCACTGTGTGCATTAAAAACTGAGAATAAATAGGCAATTACAGCCGCAAGGGTAAATCTTCAGTACAATTTGGTAATTCTGTAAAACAGATGCACCTGTTATCTACCAGTAGATAAGGCCGATCTCAACACCACAGACAACTTTAACTCCTACCTCATCTGTCACTTGCTAGGCCTTATTCCAAGGCATTTATTTACTGCTACTTTGTATTTTAAATTCTGTCCTATAAAAGCTCGTGTTTTGACAGACTGCTTTCAGCTATTTCAATAAAAACCAGTCAGCATCCTATAGAATACATGTTGGTTACTCAAATTGCTTGCAATCAGATATAAATACTGATTGTGAAGAGAAGTGTTAAGGATCTGAGAATACATACCATTCACTACTTCAACAACATCACAGCAAGGATCAATACTTCCAATGTGCCTTGGGTGCCCTGAGCGGGATTTATCATCAAAAAGAAGGGCTGTTTGAGATGAAGACAATACATCATTTAATCCCAAATACTGTATTATAAAAAGCCTTAAATTTAGACTAATACATTGTGATCACAGTATATAATCACATAAAATACTGAGTGTTGTTTATGCCTTTTGCAAGTTAAAAATGCTATCTACTGCCAGCAAACTATGTTGGCTTTTCTGTAGTTCAACACCTAAAGGCTTCTCAGATGTAAGGAACGAGATCCCTACATATTCCACACAAGACTTACTACAATTAGTCTGTAGTCTAGAAACAAGTTTTCCCATTACTTTCTTAAGTCGTACATTCAGTTTCTAACTTTTCAGTGTCACACAAAATCATCTGAGGCAGATCTCCAACAGTTTTAAGAAACGTTTACGTTAACATGTTTCTCATTAGGTTGAAGTTTTTCCTCAGGTAAAAATTTCTACTTACTGTGTTGGTTCATTAGCATCCGGGTAGAAATACGGCTCATGTAAAAACGATCCAAAAAATACTGAATGTTTTGATTGGTGACAGGATCTACTTTAAAAGTGTCTTTGTATTCAATTACTCCTTGTGCCATTGTAGGAACCACATCATGATGTCTGTTTCGGACTCTAATTAATTTATCTATAAAGCTAAAAAGAGATCTTTTTAGAACATTATTCTAAGACTACATGGAGGCAAGCTTTATACAATGTCATTACCTAATCCAGCAGCAGCACAGATAAGTGCATAATAACCTTAATATTAAAATACAGTCTATTTTTTCGTTCTTTTAGAAGTAATGCCTCACTGACCTAAACCAGAAGAGTTTGGTATTTTTAATACAAAAGGTGTAATCATTAGCCATGTCAAATTCACTGCCTGTGTACTCATTCATAATAGTTTGAGTAGAGGAGAATGTGAGGAAGGGAAAAAGACCCCTAGCTGACATCTTGGAAAGAAGCAGGGATGTGACATCACAGATAATTTTTGTTGGTATTTCTCTGTCATGACAGTTCCAAGGGGCAGTATGCCCTTGAAACCGAGCTGCAATGGGTCATATTTATTTGCAATATTGGTAAACTTGATCAGAGATTTAAACCAGCTTGCTCTATACAGAGCGCTTCATGCTAGATTATCAAATTCAGCTCATGACAACTTCATTCTAAACTGACGACATTTTGAGAAGTGGAATGTGAGATCAAAAGTTCAAAGAAACAAATGAAAAGCTTACTCAGATAAGACTTTTTGGTCATCTGGGCTTTTCTGATGGAACTCAACCAGCTCCATTAGACTTTGGATGTACCTATTGAAAAAGAACACAAGAAATATATGCTATTCATTTGATTTTTATTAGTGTAGGAACAGGAAAAATACTTCGTCTTGTCCAAATCATTACTCTTAACAAGTCAGCTAGAAGTTTGAAGTATCTTTGAAGTATCAAAGTTCCATCCAAGTATGGAATCACAGATGGACACTTCTTGACTGCCTGAACCCTGTAAGTTTTAAAAGTCTTTTCTTGTGCCTGCCATGCAGAAAGGAATCTAAACCCTCACCTGATGCACATAGGATCCCCTGACAATTCTAGGGAAGAGAGGTGTTTCAAAAGGAGATCCAAATGACAGTACTGATCAGGAAGCCATCTAAGCAAATTTTTCCAAATCTGACCAGCTTTGGCACAAGCTAAGTACTTGAGCCTCTTGCGCTGACATCTGACAGCCTTGACGCATATTGCAAAGGCACAACTGCTTGCTAGATTAAGGACAGCTTCTGGATCTCACTCTAATACTTTTGCCCTTTATGTCAGCCATCCTTGCAAATGCTGCAACTGTGCCAGTAAAACAAGGTTAAATCAGATTCAACCACTGTGTCAACTGCAGAGATTATGTTAATTAACTGAATTCCAAACACTCGCTGCACAGGCCAAGGCAATATGCTATGGAACAGAAGCCCTGTTAATAATTCCATCAGTGAAAGACCTAAACAAGTACATAACCTGCTTTCACATATTTGTGTAGCTCTGAGGGGCTGTAATGCTACGTGAAAACAGAACGTATTTTCTTCTCTCCCTTCTTAAAGAGTAGGAAGTGAGATTTGCTCTATCAGCCATTTCAAACTGTTTAAAAAAAAAACCTATTTTTTAAAATGCTATTTAAAAATAACAATATAATCATGTTATTTTTCAATTTAATTTTAGTATGGTAGAAAAGGACAGTGTATAACAGCTTGCAATTCAGCTTCGATGAAGGACCTGCATTTCTAGTGTATTTTGTTATTGTCTCCTACTATTCAAAAAGGTCTATGACAACCAAGTTGTCAAAGCTATGTTATTTTACAGGCTGAATTCAAGTAGTTCTTACTTACCAGCTTTTTACTAGTTGTACTGATGGAGTGCCTAGTAATTTATCAGGAAGAAGATCAATTTCTTTCAGTATGTTTGCAAACCTCACAGGAAGTTCTTGTCGCAAAAATGCAAAAGAAGTTCTCTCACATCCATTAGTTGAGCCTATGAATAAATCCAAAATAAAAATCTTGTTGAAGAAGTTTCAAGATACAAGTACAAATTGCTGTCTTGCCACAGACTTCTGTACTATATTCCTTTGCAATCATCATGCTATTACTGGTGAGTTCTCCTAAGTGTACATATATATTTGTGCTGAATGTCGCTTACATGACAGCAAGACACAGCATATTCCTGGAAGGAGTATTTGTACATTTTCCTTTTAGACACGGGACTTATTTGTAATCCTCTAGAAGAAGCACTCCAGCCTTTGTAAACACGGGCTTCTTCAGGGTGACGTCTGAAAATGTCATGTGAGCACAGACTTCACAGCTGCCAAAGCGGTAATCGGATCTGGGTACAGTTTGTTCACTCCATCACGACAAGACTAATGGCTCCTCCCCGATAACGCGTACCGCAGAACACGAAAACACCCGTTACCTGATTTAACTCTCAGCCCCCCCTCCTCCCCATCGCATTAACACCACCGAAATAAAGCTGTAGCGTATCTTCAGCTTTGATCGAGGCAGTTACAGGTCACCATCGCCTGGCAACCGGCCGGCGGGCGCCTGGGGACGGGGGTGGTCGCCCCAGGCGACCTCCCCACTGCCACCACCCCCGGGGCCGGCAGGTCCCCGAG